AGCTAACAGTGGACTGAAATTACCTCCCTGTGGTACTCCTTTGTTTTGTTTGAATATATATTTGCCAAATGTGCAATAACTGTTTTTTAAGCAAATAATCTGTGAAATATATTAAATCAGCAGGTTTGTAATATCTATAGCTTTTAGTTGTTGATTCACCATCTGTATAGAAGACGTGATAGCCGTTAGTGGCTATTAGCGACTTATTAGCATTCTTAAAGCAAATGTTTAAGATATGCTGTATGTTCCTAATGATGATGTTATGTTCTAAATTAGTGAACATGTCTGCGAAATCTGCTGTGTAATTTTAAGATTTTCATATGTGATATTGTTAAGATCTTGACTTATATTAATGTTATTTATAGACCAATATGTTTTAATTGTTCTATTTCTGTTTTGTATTACTTTGACATAATTAACGAAGTGATTTTTTATGTGCGTGAAAATAATGTGTAATTCTTGTGCTAGAGGTTTTATGCTACTTTTATGGGCACCAGTAATATATCTAAACTTTATAGGATTTTTATGTAGTTTAGGTAACGCATATATGATAGGCAGATCCGCATCTGCAAATGTATTAATATTATTTCTAACACAGAGGAACTTGTGTTTCAGTATCAACGAATACTTGTTATCGCATTGTACTGGTTCATAAGTATTGTTAGTGTTTTCATTAATATAGATGTGGTTGTTAATATCATATGTAATGCCCATTTCCTTCATTATAGTAAGTAAGTAGTATTTTTTGCAAATTATTCCATAATTATTGCTAGCTTTATCAAGGGGACAAAAGACGTAACTGTTTTGATAGCGTTTTATTAACTCGTACGGTATGTGTTCCCCTTTATTTTGGAATGTTTTCACTTGTTAATAGTGGTTTTATTTTATCATGGTAACATGTGTGTAGATATTGTTGCAGAAGATCTACTTGTTGCGTGTTAGCCTTATACTTGTTTTTGAAATAAGAAATAGCTTTGTTGACTGTGTCTTCATATATTTGCTTGACTTCTGGTCTGGTTATGCCATTGTCCAATCTATATCTAGTTCCTTTACTCATAATTCTTTTAAGCTTTCTCTTCTTTTATTATGTTCAGATCTCCTGTTACGATGTGTCCATGCTTATCATTTACATATTCTTGTACTGTGTCCTCAATACAAGCACAGTTTCGATTGATTATGTCTTCTAATTCTTCGTTGGTAAGATCTTTCAACACTCTGTTATAATTGCATATTCTACTTGCTACTGGATTATTGTACTTACCAGATTAGTCCCCCGTCAACCGCCGGGACCTTCCTTTCCTGCGCAAGCTTTCTATCCTCCGCTATGGTCCCTTCCTCCTGTGACACCAACACCTCCTGGAAGTGACGCGTATGCAACACAATGGTGTTTCATACAGTAGAAGGGACACAATCATGATATGACGGTAGATTTTTCGCTTCCCTTCCTCATCCTCCCTTCCTCTCTCCACTGCCCTCCAGCTGCCACTGCAGCACCATATGGAATGAACGGAAGTGTGCTAAGCAAGTGTTTATATAGCCTTAAGAGTATTATCACAACT